AGTCTCCAAATTTTAGTCAAACCACTTAAAAGGTGTTTCCTCCAGCAATGTTCTCTATTTTGGCTAATCTAAAATATTTTATTACTATTTTCTCTTTCTCTTGCAAATCAAATATATTTAAAAAAAAAATAGTAGAAACCTAACCTCACCAACCTCCCAAATGTCTCTATCTCTCTCCTCCTTGCTAGATGTAGAGAGCCAAAAGTTGGTTCTCCAAAATAGGGAACCAAGTAGGGAGTCTCCTGGAAGGTAGATTTTCCTTCTTTTTAGCCAAAGTAGCTAGGGATGAAAGGATAGAGAGTCTGCTGGAGATGCTCTAACATCCCACCATGAAATTTAATTTAATTTCATAAATTCTTAAGCGAAAGTACGGCTTTACCCTAGGGTTAATTTTGTAGGTGGTTTGGGTTAATTTTGTAGTCTAAGGGTTTGATTTAGACACTCATTTTGGACGACAGTTTGGGTGAGCTTTGAGGCCAAACCGACGCCTCGAGCCTTCGAGTCAATTATAAAGTTGGTCTTCTTGTCCTTACAGCTCTAGTGTCTGTTTAGATTTTAAGAGATTTTTAGAGATTTTTCCTTCTGAGCCCAAGAATTCAATGCCTATAGAAAGCCACTTAAACACACAACCCAATAGAAATTTATGACAACGAAGTTTTTCTTTCAAAGTTTTTTCTTCTATTAGAATTAATTTGGTTCGAATTTTAACAATAAAAAGAAGTGTAAACTTGAACCAAACCATAATTAATTTGGTTTGATTGGAATGGACCTATACTAATCTTATTATACAGGAATGGAAGGAAGAAGACTCTCACAAAACCCCAAGAAACTCATTACAGAATCGCCTCCTCCATATTAAAGAATCCAATAGCAACAGCCTCTCTCTGCCAACCAGCCTACGTACTCATTTTCTTTCCATTCCAAGACACCAAGATCATCTTTCATCTTCTCTTCTCAACAAAAGTCGAAGAGGAACCTGCTACATAGCTTATATATGGCACCTCGTGAATTTGTTTTTAATCTTCCAGTTGGTTATACATTTCGTCCAAGTGATGATCAGTTATTGGAACATTATCTTTTAAAGAAGAATAGTGGCGAACCCCTTCAGTATGAAAAAGTAGGGTGTGGTCCAAGTGTGCACATTAGAAGAAGTAGGGTGTGGTCCAAAAGAAATGTTGATGCTCTTTTTGGGAGGTCAACTTAGAGAGTAGGTGATGATGGGT